TAACAGGCTTCGCGATATCTCACGAAACACTGTTACGCTGCGACGCGCCTGGCATACATCTACCTAGGCCTGCGGCGCTGACACCCGAGTCGGGCAAAAGAAAGAGTCGTAAATAGGCCTTCGGTCCCAAAATTCACAATTATTGCTCCCCAGGGTTTTATTTTCACGAGTTGACCCTTCAGAAACCATGAAATATTTGAGAAAAAACATTGAAAGGGTTTGGGGTCATTTCCGTGTGAAAAACAGTGTTTGGCGCCTCAACGGTTAGAGATAGAGCCAAACGGACGAAATTTTCGCCCAAAGGGCTCTACTTAGATGAGTTACCCCTTAGAAAACATTTAAAAAAATATCTTAAAAAACTTCATTTTGAGGACCTGTGGTTTTTGATTTTTTTAAAATCAATTTTTTGAGCTAGAATGCTCTACTTCGAACTTGATCTGTCTTTTTATGATACAAAACGACCCTAAAATTCCCAGGTCGCTAGCTCAATTTGTTCTCGAGTTATCGTGATGACAGACAGACACACAGACAGACAGACACACAGACACACAGACAGACGCGAAACTTTTTGATCACTGGAGTAATAGGCTTCGCTAAACGCTCAGCCAATGATGCAAACCCTCGAAAAAATACGAGGGACCACACCAGTTGTCTGAAAAAATGAATGCAGCTATCACGCATCCCACAAATGATCTAGCAAAATTAGCCCCGAAAGTGTCACTCCCGTAAGCAAATGATAGGCCTACGTGTTCGTAAAGGGCGCCGAAAGCCCCACCCAGATTTAGTCCTAGATCGACGTCAGGTCCGACTGGAGCACCAGTGTTCCATCCATGGTCCTTGGGAAAGTATTCCTTGCGTGGTGTCGTCACCTCGCTTATGAGCACTTCTATGAAATCTCGGAACGGTGTCCAAGCCAGCACTGCCACTAGTATCCCCACTACGAGGAGCATCTGAGTGGTAGACGAGTTCCCTCCGGCACTAGGCAGCAACGTCACAAAAACAACAAAGATTATCGCAACCATCACGGCCTGCAGACCACCTTCCAGTTTCTGATCAACCCACTCGTTCTTCACTGCCAGAGAAGAGGCCATCATGAGTGCCCCTACCACGACTAACATTATGAAGGCTTGCCAAGGTTTTGAATCAGGCGTCCGCAGCCCCGTCACTTGTGAGTATGCTGAGTGGATGGGCGGCATGTGGAACACCTTCGGTGTAGATGTACTATTGGGTGTCTTCACCCCTCTAACCAGATTGCTGATAAGCAATACTAGTGTCAAAAGAGATGATCCAGGCGTGACGCAGAGTGCAGTCCAAGGGTATATGGTAATTGCAGCCAGTGCAATGTTAGCACCGGTCAACCACACTAATCCCGCGAGGTGCCAAAAGGCCCACACGGCAATAGATGCAAGTGGGAATTTTTCAGAATTCATTTCAGGGGCTTTTAGTTGATGATTTTTTTAATACGTCAATTTTGAGCTAGAGATCTCAAAATCAATACAGTTCTTGCTTTTTATGATACCAAGTTACTATAAAAATTTAAGAAAGAAAATAGACCCTAACTGACCATCAACAATCGAAAAACATAAATCAAAGACTCACCCGACGCAAAACGGAACAAAATAAACAAATAATTATCCACCAAGGAATGGACAAAAGGATGAATGAAATCGAAAACAAACAAAAGAAAACTGATAGGACACATGATGAAATGACAACAAACAAAAAACAGCGATAAACCAGACATGGACAACAAAAAATGACTCGAAACACAAACAAAAATCTTCAAGAATTGAAAATAATAATAAAAAAAAAAACTCGCACTCAGTCATCCGTCCTCACACCACCACACTCAAGTCCTCTTACACCGTCACCGTTAACACGTGAACACGACTCTTCAGTACAGGGCAGCGCTTTCGCATGGAACGGACGAGGGTGTTGATTTCCTAGGGTGACTTCGTCCCATGCTCTGAGCACCGCTGCACGCAGCTCCTGCATGTTGTCTGGGAGGGGCACAATTGACCGGACTTTCCTATCTACACTGTCCCACAAATGTTCAATAGGGTTCAGGTCCGGGCTCATGGCGGGGTGCACCAGAAGATTGATGTCTTGCTCCTCGAGGAAGGCACACGATATCCTTCAGACGTGCGCGGTCACGTTGTCCTCGTGCAGGATGAAGCCTGGTCCGAACGCCTCCTTGACGGGCAGGACGTTGGGGACCAGCACCTCGTCGATGTAGCGGCGCTGTGGGAGACCACCTGGAGGGGGAATTTCGACGAGGGCCGTCTTCCTCCCGAACATGCTCCCCACTCCCTATCCCCAGGACATAAGGGTCCCACCACCGAAAGCCAACTTGCCCTGGAAGTGCTGGTGCCTGGTGCCCCGGCGCCACCACACCTTCACCCTGTCATCGCATTTCTCTAACGCGAACAGCGACTCGTCGGAGAACATGACCCTCCGTCACCGTTGGATGTTCCAGACGTGGCGGGGGTCAGGACTGGGGCCTTCTTCGGCACCCTCGTGTGCAGCCCTCCAGCAACAAGCCTCCACTTGACGGTGGAGGTGGAGATGACCTGGTGCGTGGCGGCGGCGTGCTGGCCGCGGATTTCTCTCGACGTGAAGGGGCCCGGCTGAGCTGTCCAGGGGCGCCCAAACGATTTCGCCGAGGTGGTCAGAGTACACTGACACCCTCCATTTTCATCATGTGACCTCCCCTTTCATTTTTTCTTCTTAAAACATAATGCATACTACTCTACTTATGCACAGATCTTGTGAGAGGTGAATGGTGCACTGTTAAAAAAAGTTGTGAAATTTCACATCAGAATCAGTTAATTAGAAAACATAAGTAATAATTTTACAATTTTCCGTTGTAAAATTGTGAGCACTCTTTCGGAAATGTGAGATTTGATTGTAATTTTCCGATTGCAGTTTGTAATTTTGCGAAGTAAAAGCAAATTAAACAGGACCTGCACAAGTCCTCCATCAGGTTTACTACAGTGTACAACGAACCTCCACACATGTAAGGCCGTTGTGACTTTGGATTTTCATACGACCGAACAGTGACTGTACTTCAAAGAACTGCCGCCAGACGGCGTTGTGGTCGGCGCGTCTCTTCCAAGAGCAAATATTAGTATTTAACTAAAATTTGCACAAGAAACTGACATGCATTTTCGCGCGGTATGATCTGTAACACAGTGCTGTTGCTGGCCACCCATTTGTTTTTTGAGCAAGTGCAAGAGCAAGTGCCCCAAATAATTGGTCTTATTCCAGCGCGCGCCGGTCCCCGCTACCTCTCCTTAGTTAGGTACGGCTCGGTTCGCGTCCGTTCAGTAAAAGGCGCTTGTGACGCGCTTGCGCTCCCGTATTTTTGACGTGACTGTACCCTCAGATGTAGCTGGTACTCCTTCAACGTAATCAGCTGATTCCTAGATCGTCCGTGGTGCACCTACTCCATGTTCATGGCATCAGAATCCCGTCATTTTTTACGAGGTTAAGTTTGAGCTGGGTGGGGCGGCATTTTTAGGCGTCCCCTCCATTCAAACAGTAATCACAGATCGCTTATAACCCATGTTATTGGCATATGGCTGGTGCAGTTATCTTTGCTTCTGAAACTTTTGCAGGTGTCCTGCTGGGGCCGCGAGTTATGAAGCTAGATATAACTCCTGCATATTGAAGTGTACCAGCACCTCTCACAACACATTAATGTTTTAATTTTTAACAGGTGGTCGCTGTTGTGCTAACTGCTGTTGCAGGCGACTGTGCTGCTGAAGATATTATGCCATATATTTTTCAACAGACTAAAAGATCATTTCATTCAGTAGCAATAATGTGCACTGTAGCCTTAGTGGTTAACCTCAGTTCAATAGGCTTCGCTAATCGCTCAGCAACAATGTATAGAGTAACCTCGCACCCTGGAATAATGGGACTTGTGGCCTAGAAACAACTGTTAACTTGCTTATTTCGATATTTCACTTTATTAATAGTAGTATAATTAAGTATAATTTAATTGTTAGCTAGTATTATGCGTCACTTCCACGGCCATGCTTTGTTGCATTCGGTCACTGTGATAAAAAGAAAGAAGATCATGTTGATGAGAAAGGTAACTTATTCGGACCATCAGTAACAGTGGCACTACATGAAACACTTCTGGAAATAGATGCATCTATGGATGGATCTATTTCCAAAGTAGCTGTCAGTAGTCACAAGAGTTATTGTAATTTTAAAAATGTGTCAAAGTTTGGTATTTACCTCTTCTGCTTCCCCCTCTGTCTCTGTCACCACTATCTGTGGTACCACCCTTTCTTGATTCTTGTTCCTCCTCCTGTCAGTATTCACAAATTCCAAATTTGGTTGCTAGTAAAGAAAAGGGGAAAAGAAATAAAAAGTTTAAAAATACCCTCAGAAAAAATAAGGAAAGAAATGACACATGAGGCATACAGGGCACGAAATTTTAAAAAAAAACCTACCTTCTGTTTGGTTACTATGCCTTCCAGGATTTTTTTAGAGTCATCTGATATGTTATAATCTCTGATATTGGGGAGCAGGATGGACTCAATCCGATACCTTAGTGCTTGCTCAGTTCTTGTTTTGAATATCTATGAAACAAAAGAAAAAGTTTTTAAAAAATGATAAATATAGCAACCTGGTAAAACGGAATAGAACAATGATGGAAAAGAAAGTAGCAGAGTAGAAAATATCATAGAAAATGGCAATATTTCATGAAAATAAATCATTGCGCACTTCAGTAATGAAAACTCACCTTGTGTATGTTGGCGTAAATTTTTTTTTTTTTGAAGAAACATAATCTTTGTGGTTTTGAGCTACGTAATTCAGCAATGCTACGTCCTCTGCTTCCTCGTACGGCTCGCGGTTGAGAGGGTGTTTCCTGTTTTAAAAAAAAGAAGGGCAAAAAAAGAACTATGAAGAAACTGGGATGGAAGAAAGGAATTGATGGATGGGCCCATGCAACGCAACGCATAGTAAAGAGGTGCGCCCCCTCCCCGCCCCATACCGATGCAGAAGTTATCGACCACAGTTTAGCCATGCCAGAGCAAGTGCATGGCTGACAAGTATGGCAGGCAAGGCTACATCCTGAGAGCGCCTGTGACGCTGCGGTAGGCCAACACGCCAAGCAGCTGTGTGAGGTTGGTGGCCGCTGAGCGAGGGGGGGGGGGGCACTGCCTCTAAGCAGGGATTTAGATCACTTTGTATGGCAGAAGAACGTGGTAACAGAACACTTACAAGCGTGCCACTTCCGACCAGGTCTTCTCTCTCCTCAGTATTGCGTTAACATCGAAGATTGGTTTGTAGTGGCTTGAAAAATTACATCTGAAACATTACATCAGGTACATCAGGTATATCCACAACGTGTCACACGAAACGAAACGAGTTCGTGCGAACCCTCGAGCAGAGAAAAACTTACAAATAGTCGTTCAGTTTACGCAACTTGTTGGCGGCCACGCTGTCCGTGATGAATTGGACGGAGTAGATTTGCCTCTTTTTGCTCAATGAGCGTGGCTGAGCATCGCTCATGATAATGGTGTTGTCACCAGTGGGGTTGGGGTGTGCGTGCCCTCCATTAGCCTGTAGGAGAGTCAAAACCGTGGCTAGACACAAGCTCAACAACATGGGAAGAACAAGAAATAATGAAACAGAATCACATTACTGTACCTCGACAAGTATGCCCAAGTCCGCGGATTCCCTGCATTCTCCTAAATACAAAGAGACTGCCTTCAAATTGCACATGAATACGAATTCATCCATCTGAAAAAGAAAGAAAAAAGAGATTAGGGTTGTCTATAATTGTCTGCATTCAGATATGTTTTGTATGATCCAAGAAAAAGTGCAAAGCTCAATAGGGAGGGGTGACGGTTAGGGCGAAGCCGTCGGAGGCCCGGCATTGGGAAGCCGGCCTGTGCGGACGGGCTGCTCGCGAGGGGAAAGGAGGAGAGAGTCCACCACGGGCCCCGGGTCGCCATCGCCATCCTGGCCCTGCGCTGGCTGCATCGCCCGGACGCTCCGCGCCGTCGTCACTTACGAGAGCGCGACAGCGTGAGAGCGTAAAGTAGGGCGAGGGGCAGGGGGTGGGGAGGGGAAAGGCGCCCACCTCCACGCTCTCGCGCTCACGCTCTCGTAAGCGTGGCTAAACTGAAAATAGCTCCAGACGAGGCTGGCATCCTCTCGCCGCCAGCATCCCCGAGGCCCGCCCCCGCGCCGCCCGCTCCGGTGACGCCACGCGGTGCAGGGCCAGGGGTGGTGTGCCCTTGGCCTGGCCCTGCGCTGGCTGCATCGCCCGGACGTCCCGCGCGAGGGGGAAATCATTTACGTACTAACTCGCACACCCAGGCCTG